GTATTTATTACCATGAGCTGTGATGGCCTGGGAATCCGATTCAGAGAGTGAACCGGAGGAATCCCAGCCTGCACAGGAGTCCCCGCCTCCAGGGCCGGCTGAACTGGGGCAGGGCCTTGATTCTGAGGAGCCTGCACCTGTGCTGGATCCTCAGGAGCAGGCACCAGGTGAATCCATTCTGGCTCCAGAGGTGGTTGAGGACTCAGTGCCTACAGGTGAGTCTCCCCCTGGGCCCAGTAACCCTTCAGCCTCTCCTGAACTGCAGAGGCTTAGGGCAGAGAGGCGAAGGGAACTGGTTTCTCCCAGGAGGAGTGCTCACCTTAAGGCCAGGAGAGGCGGGGCTCCTGGGGGCCGGGACCGCCCCTGGCCTCAGAGAAGATAAAGGCCAGTCAGCCCAGTCCCAGGTTGCGGGAGCAACGTCGTCATTGAAGAGCTGTTTCGGCCAGCATCCAGTCCTGTTCCTCCAGTGTTCCTGTCCTTGTCCGGCTCCTCCCTGTGGACCCTGCTTCGCCCGTGAAGGACTGTCTGCCGACCCTCGACTCGGGTCCTGGACCTCGCCCCACGGTAACCTCCCCCCGGGACCAGCACACATGAGCTCATCAGCGCTATCTAGTGCCACATTTTTTATAATGCACTTAAAATGCACTTATTTGCGGCTGTATAGCTGAGCCCAGAGTCTTACGGGAAAATACAGTTCAGTTCTGCTACAGAAAGCATCAAAGGCTTTAAGATAAATGGGATCAGAGCTCGCTCACAAATTTGGACCGCTTCCCTCACTCACCAGAGTAGAGTCTTCAGATGAGCACAGTTAAGCTCTGAATCTGAAGGTTGGCTGCAGTTGTAAACAAATAAATCTCAGCCTGGAAAGTACCACTGGCTGGTTCACAGACCATGGGTGTTGCTATGCCTGAGATCTTCAAGTTCCTAATCCACAAGATGGGGCAAGGAGAGTCACTAGATTTTGCAGGTTCCAAGGGCTGGGTATCACAAAGGTGATCTCAGGTTCAGTCTAGCATCTCCACATAGGGTTGGGAAGAACCCATTTGAAAACCATCAAGAGCTGCTACGGATTAGGGAAGATCTGAGATGGGGAACGTGTAGCCCTGCAGATGTTGGTAAGACTACAACTCCCATCATCCCTCACCATTGCTGGCTGGAGCTTATAGGAGCTGTAGTCTAATGCCTGCAGGTCTACAGGTTGCCCTTTCCTGGTGTAGACAATATTGAGTCAGATGGACCAATGGCCTGACTTGGCATAAAGTCGTTTCCTTTTGCCAGGAAGATAGAATATGACCTAGAACTCTTTGGCTCATCCTGGTCTCCCTACCCCATAAGTTAATGGTTTGCATCCAACACAAGATTGCTGATCGCTGAAGAATTGATGCTTTTGAATTATGGTGCTGGAGGAGACTCTTGAGAGTCCCATGGGCTGCAAGAAGATCAAACCTCTCCATTCTGAAGGAAATCAGCCCTGAGTGCTCACTGGAAGGACAGATCCTGAAGCTGAGGCTCCAATACTTTGGCCACCTCATGAGAAGAGAAGACTCCCTAGAAAAGACCCTGATGTTGGGAAAGATGGAGGACACAAGGAGAAGGGGACGACAGAGGACGAGATGGTGGGACAGTGTTCTCAAAGATACCAGCATGAGTTTGACCAAACTGCGGGAGGCAGTGGAAGACAGAAGTGCCTGGCGTGCTCTGGTCCATGGGGTCACAAAGAGTCGGACACGACTAAACGACTAAACAACAACCATCCAACACTAGCCCTACTTGGAACAGACCCATTCAAATTAATGAATCTAAGGTAGGCTAGGTTCATCAGTGGGCCTACTCTGAGTAGGATTGGGTTGGTCAACATCTTGGTTCCAAGAAGGGCGCTTGGCTTCGTTCCCAGAGATCCTGGGATATTCATCCACTTGGCTGAACTTGTAGTAGCTCATAGCACCTCTGGAAGTTCAGTGGCAGAGCGTTATGCTTTGATTACAGGAAGTCCCAGGTTCCAATCCTGACATCTCCAACTAAGCGGAGGGAAGAAATGAATTTGGTTTGCATCTTAATGTGAACGTTCAGAGCCTGCACTTCTCACACCATCATCTTTAGGCACCTGTGGCCTTTTAGTGTGGGTGGGATGTTTTTAATACATTCCCCCCTTGGTTTTAATGTATCTATGTAGTGTTTTTTGTTTGTTTGTTGTTTGTTTGAACAGTGGTACCTCAGTTTTCGAATGTCTTCATTGACAAACATTTCGGTTTTCGAACGCCGTAAACCCGGAAGTAAATGCTTTGGTTTTCGAACACGCCTCGGAAGTCAAACATGCCATGTGACTTCCGTATTGAGGCTTCCGCTTTGAGTTTTCGGTTTTCGAATGTGTCAGAACTTGAACGGTCTTCCAGAACGGATTACGTTTGAAAACCGAGATCCCACTGTAAGTAGCTTTGAGTTGCCTTGTGCGAGAAAAAGCAGCGAACAAATATAATACAACCAATAAACAAAACGAAATGTGTCTGTATCTGTTCTGAATTTGAAATTGTTTTTAATTGTGTTCCTGTATGGATTTTTTAAATAAAAAAACAGTTTGTATATATGGGGGGGGGTCAGTTTTGTTGTTTTTACTGTGAAATTGCTTTGGAGATATTTTACAGAAAGGTAATTCGTAAATTGAATCAAATCAAAATAAACAAACTTGAACAGTCTTTTCCGGGACCAGCCTAAAGAGCTGAGGTTATATTTGCCAGGGAAGAGTGCCTTCTGTCAGACTGTCCTCATTTACATTAACACTTTTCCTTGAGGAAAACCCTCAGGGTTTTCTCCTCTTCCTTTTCTTAATCTCCAGCATTGTCATCTTCCTAAGAAACTTCCTCATTGCATTTCCTCATTCCCTAGTTTCCCACCTGCTTAGTGAGGCCACCAACACGTCACATGACTTGTTTGCATTACGTCTGAGCTGTGGCAAGCCCTTTATTTGAAAACAAACAAAAAGATTTTAGAGATTTCTTCAGATTTGCCCCCTCAGCTCCCTCTAATTCAGCTGCTCATTTCCCCCTGGCTGCAGTGTTGTGATACAGCCTCTAGGTGTCACTGTGTTCCATTAAAAAATGTGAATCACTAGAATTTTTTCTGGAGCACAAGCAATGCTGCAAGATTGTGGCAGGAGTGATACGGATGATAGGAAACCATCATTAGCCTGAATGTATCACCCTCTCCAACATCTGGGCATTACCTTTCTCATGATTACATCAAAGAATGACCCCTGCCACTGAATGCAGTTTCTGTGAAACTCACTGCTATAGGATTTGATTATGGCTGCCACCATAATAGGCTTTATTTTAAGGACCAGTTGGCTATGATTAGAGCAAGAAGCATAGCTATGATTTCCTGATGGGAGGAACAAAGCAGCAGCTCTTATCATTTTGTCTTGTTTATGAGCTTCCTCAGGGCAGCTGGCTGGTCAGTGTGAAAATTGTACCTAGTGGGGCTTAGTTCTGCGAACAGCAGAAAATATTCATTTTAGTTAAAATAGTATTCAACTCCCAAGGCATTTCTCAGAAAAGGGTAAATTTCATATTGTGCAATATGAAACACTTTTAAAAATGCATTGCAGTAAATATCTCATCTGAGAGCCTACGAAAAGAATAAAATCAATTTTAACATGTCTGAGGAAATAACAAGGATTTTAAAATTTGTATGACAATGGGAAGAGATGGGGTGTACATTTTGCCCAAGATGGAAACATGCAGTTGTGGTGCCATCACCCAAAGCTCCTGCCAATCTGATCTTAACAAATGACAGGCTAGAAAACAGGCCTTCGGTGGTGATCTCAGGGATCCAGTAGGTTTGTATGAGTGTAAACATACAGATAACTTGGTAATATATTGTCCTCCAGGGGAAAAAAATGGTTTCTGTCTTTATGCATTCAGAGGGGAGGAGAGGAATGAAAAGAGAAACTCTCCAGACCTATTGAATTCATGGAATCAGAGGCCAGTCTTGGGCAAGATAATACAATGTGTGGTTGGACAAAACATAGCCTAGGTGAGATTACTTTTGCCAGAGGACAGACTGAAGGAGTGTGTCGTTATTGAACAGAACTAATGAAATATTTCGCCACTTCAAAGAATGAAAAACAATTGAGCATGGCCAGGTAGAGATGAAATTATCACACACACACACACAAATTGTGCAAAAGAGCTAACACAGTAATTCAGTGCCTTGCACTATCCGGCAGGGTTAATAATAAGATGCAGTTAATATTGGATCCTAAATATCAGGGAGAATGCAGGAGTTGGTGCTGAAGGCAGACCACGTTATTTTGGAAAATAATGCCAATAATATTAATAGATTAAATGGCTAGCGGTTTGCTGTCGTTCCCTAACACCCAATGGTAGGGCCGGCCCCTTAAATTTGTGCACCAAAGAAAATTGTGTTCAAAGCGCCCAGCATTACACAGAAGGCACAGTGACGCAATAGAATGTGACAAGTTCCCAATAGCCACCTCGTGCCACTTCTGGTTCCCAATTGAGCACGCTGTGCTACCATGGCAAAGCCAACCGTAGGCCTAGAGCGGCTCCCCCACCCCCCACAGACTTTCAAAAGCTTCAAAATAGACCCCGTGGCGCCTCCCCTCAGAATCTCTTTAGGTTCGTTATCAGCTGTCCCCGCACATAGCAGCCTCTCTAGCGGCCGCCACGTGCTTCCTGCCCCGCATATGGCTGCCTTCGGAACCGCAAAGCGCCGGAAGTTAAGCCTGCGCGCCAACTTTGCTCCGTATCTCTAGGCGTGAGGGGGTGTGTGGAGAAGATCAGGGAGCGCGCGCCCTCTATATACCTGGCGCATGCCTACATTCAACCCGAGGCTCGCCCGCGCCTGCGCGCTGGGGCCCGAGCCGCGAGCAGGGGTGGGCGGTCCTCGCGCCGCCGTGACCGCGGATTGGCCGCGGCGGCGAAGTGGGCGGGGAGAGGAGGCGGTGCACTATTTAAGGAGGCTCGGAGGGCGGGGACGGGGAGGCGTGTCCGAGCCGCGCTCCTTGTCAGTCGGCGCCGGGAAGCGGCAGGGGGCGGAGGCTGCGGCAAGAGCAGCAGCAGCGGCGCCGGCGGTGGAGGAGTCGGAGCAGCCTCCACCACCCGCCTCCCCCTCGCGGCTTCTTCTCCTTCCCCTCCTCCTACTATTCCTCCCGGCCTCGGCGGCGGCCGCCGCAGCCACCGCCACGCTGAGCCTCCAGCAGCGGGACTCGCCGCCGCCGCCACAGCAGCAGCAGCGCAGGTGAGGCGGCGCGGGGGAAGAGCCTGGTCCCTCCGCCGGGGCCTGGCCACAGAGAGGCCGAGGGATGCAGTGCGAGGCTGCAGGGAGCACGCAGGGCAGCCAGGGATTTTGGGGTGGGGGTGAGTCTGGGGGGGGGCTCCCTTGCAAAAAATAAAATAAAATTGAGATGGGGATGCTCGTTGTATGTGGTCTTCTGCAAGAGCAGGTGGAAGGGAAATTGCAGAGGTGTGATGGGGATGATATCTGGGGGTCTGATATAGGGATGAGCAGCAGAGAGGCTTGAAGGGATGTGGGGTGGGCGGGCGGTGGGGTGCCTGGAAAGGGTGTAGGGGGCCAGTGATGGCGTGGTGCTGGCGGTGAAAGGAAAGCGACGGGCTCTGCTTTGGGGTGTCTCCACCAGAGAAGGGACTAAAGGGATGTGGGTTGGGGGGGGGTCCATGTAGCGATGCCCACCAGGGAGGTTCGGAGGGGTTTGAAGGACGTTAAAATGGGGTGGGGGAGAGTGCGGGCCAGTCGAGCAGGTGGGGTTGAAGGGATATAGAGGATGGTATGGGGTGACTGTGGTGTAGAGGGGATTAAAGGGAAAGGAGAGGGGGCTGTGGTGTTGGAAAGGGGGTCCAGGAGAATGGGGAGCCTAGATCAGAGAGCCCCACTGAGAAATTATGGGGGTTTCTTAAGCAGCGAGGGCTGAAAGGAGATTGGGATGCACAGAGGTGTTGGCATGGCTAGCTGCAGCGAAGGGGAGGGCAGTTTGTTGTGGATGAGCTGTAATTCCCAGGATTCTTCAGTTTTTTTAAAAAAAAATTGGAAGTTTTCAGCATTTGTTGACCCTTGGGGTATAAGGCAAAACATAAAAGCGTGATTCCCCCTCATTTTTGTGTGTGTGTGAAACTACCCTGTCCCACTTTGTGTTTTGCTTTGCCCCCCTGCCCCCATAACATTTTTACAGATGTCCCTGGGTGAAAGGTGAGGGGGAAAAATTTGATTGGGGTTTCTCTAAAGTTAAAGGGAGGTCTGATATGGGGAAACTGCTGCAGGTAAGTGGAGATTAGGGTGATGGAAACAGGGTAGGCAGTGATATTGGGGTATCTTTCATTGGGTGAGGGGGTTCTTCACCGGAGAGCGATAACAGCAGATTCAGGGGTACAGTGGGATGCTGAGAGAAGCGTGTGCATGTGTGAGAGAGCAGGCAATTAATGGTGAGGGGTTCAGGGCACCATTGGGAAGAAAGGAAGATAATGTAGGCTTAGGTTGACTCTGCATAAAATAGGGTGGTTTTTTTAAGCTGTGGGAAATGGATTGTGGCAGTAGAGAGGTATGATAGGGCATTTCAGATATGGCTGTTAAAATAGTGGCAAGGGGCCCTAAGGTGGTGGTGTGTCCCTTGAAGGCTGTTGTGAGAGATTGGCTTTGAAACAAGAATACTGTAGATAAAATGGGGAATAAGATGCTGACTGCACAGTTGGAATGTGGGGACTTCACTAAGAGGATGAATAAGCTTTTTTGTGGCCTTATCCCTCAGCATAATGCAGGTATCTTCAGCCTTCTCAAGCCCAGCACCCATTTTTAACCCTAACATGCACCTGGAGGCCCATTTCTTCATCTTTTACCATACATTGGCATGCAATGGCCTGCGTTCAAGCTACACTAAATGTTTCTGCATTTGCATGCATCCATCTAGGCAAGTGAGAAGCGTTGTCACAATTTGAGGACTCATTCAAGCCAGGCAGAAGTGCACAAGGAAGGCGCAGAGCATGGATGGTGAGTGGGTGTGGCTTGTACTAGAGGCCTGATGAAAGCCTGGAGAACTGCATTCAGCCCCTGGGCTTGAGGTTCCCCATCCCTCTTTGCTATTGCGATCGTAGACTTTATCTGCGCCCATCAAGAGGACTAGAAGAATGGGGGAACAAACTGTCTTGGAAAATGCATGGAGGAGAATAGTGCCAAGCCAAGCCCTTTCACTGTTACGATAACTACTAAATTTGATGCCTGTTGCCTTAACAGTTCTGCAGTTACTCCGAAGATGGCTTTGGCCTACTCTTAGTGTTGTTTACTGTAGTTTGTAACCCATTCAGGTCAAGATTGACTGTATGGATTGCTGTAATTCATACCCCGATTTCATATGCAGCTATCGTCTATCTCTATGGGGCAAAAGCTAATGTGCGTGGAAATAAAAACCTTGGTGGGACATAGAAATTCACCTGAGTGTGGAGGGACTTGCAAAATGCTGGAGACAAACTATTAAGACAAGCTTGAGTTCTGAAATGTGCAGCACTGGTTTCGACATTCACTTCTCAAAGGTACAGGGTGAAGTGCCTCTTGCGTGAGGGTGATCTTAAGTCTTCATTCCCATTAACTTATATCTATATGCTATGATTAAGAAGATTTATACACTGCTTGATTTTTTAAAAAAGTTGAAATGGTTTACAAAAATAGTAAATAAAATACTACAATTTTCAATAAATAGTTAAAAACATTATTGAAGAGCATTCAGAAGATAGTTAACATCAACAGTAGCTGAAAAGAGATAAAGCACATGTAGCTTAATGTCTGGACAGGCATGCCTAAACAAAAATGTTTAAGCAGGTGCCAAAAAGAGTACAGGGAAAGTGTTGGCCTGATGTCAATTGGCAGGGAGTTCCAAAGTGTATGTGCTGCTACACTACACTTAAAGATAAATTTCTTACAAATGCACAACCAAATATTATGCAGCACCCGTAACAGTGCCAGTTTTGCAGATCGAAGCAGAAAAGTGGTTATTTCTCAGACATGGCGATCCTGCAAGTAAAGTGGTCCCAAGCTATTTAGGGCTTTACCTATTAAAGGCTGTGGTGTTCTATGCAGACAGGGCCTCGCTCCTCTCAACTACCACACTGCGGCATTCTGCACTAGATGCAGCTTCTGGGTCCAGCTCAAGGGAAGCCCCACATAGAGTGCATTGCAGTAGTCCAGTCTTGAAGTCACCAGTTCCTGTACTACTTCGGTCAGACTCTTGGTCCAGGAACAGCCGTAACTGCTGTACCATTTGAGATGTGCAGGGGCTGGCATATGACTCTGCTTGTTCGAGGATGGGAGTTATTGTGAAACAGAAGCAGGTCTTTTTGCTCTGATATGCAGAGCTTGGTGGAGATCACGGATCCCTAGAAGTGATTCAAAGATGGCCATGATAGTGTGTCAGGGTTTCTGGGGGTTTTTTTGGCAGTCAGGTGTTAAGTCTTCTTGTGTGTTCTGCCACACCTCCTGCTCTCTCCCACCTAGGCCTCTGGGATGGAGGGTAGCTGCAGAGGTGGAAACCACTTGTGGGAGATGCTAGAATTGGAGCAGGCTCTCCAGCCTAGTCTAATCGGTGGCTGGAGCTCGCGGAATCCTCCCCTGAGATCCAGTGGTGGAAAAACAAGCCAGGGAGAGATGCTCTCTTGGGAGAAGAAAGGCCAAATGGTTTTTCACCTTCACTTAAATTGCAGAGAGATGGTCCCAGCCATGCTACACATTTAAAGTGTACCACTTTAACAGGAGGGTTATGGGAGCTGTACTTTGTTAAATTACAGTTCCTGTGATCCTTCATGGCTGTTAACGTGGCATAAGAGTGATTTGAATGTATGGGGTGGATATTCAGAGCCCTGAATATCATGGGAAGAAGGAACTGTGGACGTGGGATTTTTAAAAAATTATCAGCTTGGGAAATGCTACCTGGATTAAAGTATGGATCCTCTTGATTTGTGGTATCTGGTGTTCCCCTATCTCTATATAAGCAACCCAGTATATCCACAAGTAGGGTCTGAGCTTGCAGTGACTGGCATGGAGGGGGAATCTTGAGGGTGTGTCAGTGTTGAGTAGCTTGATGAAAATGTCAACCCAATGTGTGGCAGCTCTGGAAAACGCACATTCCCTATTCCACTTTACAAATCTGTGGTGAGGCTGCATTTTGAATTCTGCATGCATGTCTGGTCACCGTTCATTTAGAAGGAGCTGGAGAGGAATTTTCAGCAAAGAGGAACCAAAAATGATCTATAAGTTGGAGCCTCTTCCCCCATGGAAGAAAGGTCACACAACATTTGGGGATTTCTAGTTTAGGAGAAAGGGTACGAAAGGGAAGCATGATAGAGGTGTGCGAAATTAGGCATAGTCTAGGACAGGGGTCGGCAAGGTTTTCCTCACCTGAGCCGGTTCACTCCAGTGGAGATCCCTCGGGGGGGGGGGGGGCGGATTGCGCATACACGTGAGAGCGCGTGCCCGTGATTTCTGGTGTCTGTGTATGTGCAGACGCGATTTCCGGCACCGCGGAAGCGAGTCCCCGTGCTGCGCTGCGCTGGTTTGGTGCAGCACGCGGGGACTCGCCGAGCGGGCGGCTCGTGGGCCAGTTAAACGACCCCCGTGGGCTGCTTGTGGCCCATGGGCCTTAGGTTGCTGACCCCTGATCTAGGAGGAAGCAGGTGGGAAGACTTCTTTCTCTCATTATTCCGGAACTCAGGGACCCACATTGACGCTGAATGTTGGAAGATTCAGGGCAGACAAGAAGAAAGTACCACTTCATGCAGTGCGCAGTTAAACCGTGAAATTTGCTCCCGCAAGAGGTTGTGATGGCCACCGACTTGGATGCCTTTAAAGGGGAATTGGACAGATTCACAGAGGAAAAGGCAGTCAGTGGTTACTAGTCATACAGCCTCCAGGACCATGAGGCAGCAAGATCCTGAATACCAGTTGTTGGGGAGCAACTGCAGAAGGCGTATAGTGCTCCTGTCCTGCTCATGGGAGACCCATAGGCATCTGGTTGGCCGCCGTGGATGCTGAACTGGAGGGACCTTGTGTCTGTTTCAGAAAGCTTCTCTTGGGTACATATCCATGGGCAACTCTTGCAAAGTGTCCTCTTGGGGATCGTGGGTGGGTGGAGAGGAGATGCCTGTTCTTAGGTAATATTATATTTGCTGTGGCAGCTGCTGGATGTGCCATCCCAGCATAGACTTGTTACCTTTGCGCAGACCTCCTCAAAGATGCTGAAG